CACGGGGCAAGGGTAGGTTGCCCACTGCGGGCTTGGAGCCATGGGCTGCACCAGCCTCTTCCTGCCGGGGGGAATGCTGCACCAGGGCTGAATTCAGGGCAGGTGGGGGCGGGGCAGGCAGCAGCACTGGGATGGGTAGCTATGGGGCATTTTAGGGTGGCTATAGCCCCCCCCATAGCCACCCCGAGCGCAGCCCTGACCCAACCTTCCCCTTCCCCTGCTGGAAGAGACTGGTGCAACCCTTAGCCCCATGCCTACAGTGGGTAGCCCACCCCCACTCTGCACACAAATCTGGGGGGAACTGCCCCCACCCCCTGTGCTCCCCAGACAAGCTGCCCACAGTTCTGTCCTGCTCCTAGGGTTGCATTCACTGCCCTGGCTAGGCACCTATCCCTGCCCCACTCCCTCCCTCATTGTGCAGGCCTTGATCTGTGCCCCCTTCCTCCCCACCCATTGCTATTGACATACTTTGTGCTATATAGTAAAGGGAGTCTAGCTTATTGTCAATTTAATACTCCCTTTGTATTCTTATCACACAGTTACCTGTTATAAATATTAACTCTGACAGTAGTGGTATTAGATGCATAATAATCTCCTCAGATGTAGCTGTCACTGCCTGACAGATGTATGTTAAACGGTCTCTGTTCCAAAACTCTGATCAGATACAGCATTAATGCCTTGAATGCTCTGGAGGACAGAGATGCCAATTCTAGAATAGTGGGAGATATAGGTTTATAGATAGTAGACTTTGTTAGGTACGTGGGCAGTTGTTTTATAAGTTAGTATATGAATTTCTGGCTTGAAATGCCTATCATTCAGTTGTAGGCAGTAGAAATGTCCTTGAATTAGACTTAAATGTTTGTAAGATAAAATCTTTCTGAGCAGTCTGTATTAAAATACTATTTGCGTACTGAACTTTCAAGTAGGTCAAAATGCCTTGCAGTGCTATTTCTTTTTTAATTGAAAATAATTTGTATTCAAATAAAACAAAGGTAATCACATTTTGGCAATGACTAACTGAAATAATTGCTGTGGTGTATCTTCATAGTGTGTTGAAAAGTTGCTCCTTAGAAAATGAAGAGTGAAAATTTGAGCTGTCTAGTGAAAAATAGGACACTATGTGTCTTCATATATGTACAGAAGTAATGGTTTGAGAAATTTGCAGGCTGTCTTTTAAATGTTTTTCATAGTAGAGATTTTCCATAGAACAGAACAATGTTACAGTCACAAACCTTTCTTTTTAGAAAAGTGTTTAAACTTTTAAACACATTGGGTGCTGACAGACATTTTTTTGGGGGGGAGACTGCGTGGGAGAAGCGCTCTACCAGAAGTAGTAACACGTTACTTTGACCCAGCTTCGCAGCATTGGGTGATTCAGCCATGCTTTTTGGCACTTTAGCTAAAGCTAAAGGTTTTTTCACATCTGCAAGCAGGGAATTAAATTTAACAAAATTGGTTGTAGTTTGTTCTAAAGCATACATGCAGTTCCTCCTGCAGCATCAAGGTTCATTATTTGTAACCTACTAATTTTTGTTACGTGTCCCATTTGTGTAAAAATGTCTGATTGTCAATCACTCAAACTCGGAATCCATCTCTACTCTCAGATAGCAGGTTTTCTCATCACAACTTTAAAGATGTTATAGACCAATCTAGCAATGCCATTGTTCTTTGCTTATGCCTTCAGCGACAACTCTATTGCACTGGAACTGGAACTTTAAACAAAAAAATTGGAAAATGCCCATATGCATCTGAAACATGATCTGGAGGATTAACCAGAGCAAAATTATAGAATAAATCTTTTGCCTTGTACTTTTGTATTTAACTTGGAGCTTAGCTTTTTTGCAATGTCAGCTGACTTTCCATTTACTAAAATACAGTGCTATCTTAAGTGTGGTTCAACGTCTTAAGAGTGATTATGTAAAAATAGTATGTTCTTAATAAACACTTCTAATCCCTATGAGTAGTCAGTGCTGTGTTTAGTATGAGGAGAAAAGCTTGGTGAACATAACATCTACAGTTATGTCAGAGCCCTGCTAAGAAGTATAACAGAGGAGGTGTTTGGAACCAACAAAACAAATACAGATTAGATAGTATTAAGGACAACTTTATGGACCTGGGAACAGAATTAAAGACTGGATCAGTACACTTAATCTTCTTGGGTAATGTTCTGTCCTGAGTACAGGTTAGATGCTTGATGCTATTATTGGTTACATTAGGAAGGGGGAGAAGAGTAGGAAGGAAGAGAGAAGAAAATGAGATCAGAATACCAAGATCAAAGAAATGACCTTTTGGCCTAGTATACAAATGGGATTCTGTCTCTTTAAAAAGTTGTTTCCATGTGGTAGGAGCGGCAGAGAAGATGAGTTCAGATTTATTCAGTGGGAGTAGACTTTACACCTATTATTTGAACCTGACCCACTTGAAGAAATATTACTAAACAGTCAGTTTGTCTGGGAGGAAAGAAAAGAAGAAATGGAGGAGTAGTGGGAAAAGACCAGAAATTTATTTTTAAATTAAATTTTGTGCAGTAAAGAGAACATACCAGTGCAGTGCTACAGTGTCTACTCTAAAAATAGAGGAGTTGCAAATTCAAAACCATTCTGATTTCATATTTAAGGTCACCTTAGGTCAACATGTGGCTCTTCCAACCCTTTGTCTGCCTTCTGAGGTAGATAAAATATATTATAGAATCTAGATTATCTTCATTTATATGCATTCTCTTAAGCAAGAAGGTGTTCCTACTGTATGTCTTCATTGTCATTACTATATGTCTTCATTGTCAAGGAGGATTTCACAAAAAAAAAAGTACTCCTTCCCTTTTGGAGTTAAAAACTGTCCTCATTTGTTTTTGGGAGTAACATTCAAGAACCTAAGATGTCAAGTTACAATATCAAATTTTTAAATGTTGGTTGGGATTGGGGAGGAGAAAGGGTTACTCAAAGTAAAATTAAAACAGATTATCCAAAACGATACCTGGGACAGTGATTAGTTGGATATGATTTATTATTCACTTCTATTGACTTTCTGATTTTTCTTGCAATTAGTTCAGAGAAACGGAACAAAAAATGCAATAGAGATTTATTTATTTTTTAAGATTCAGGGAAGTAATCCTACTTCAGTGAAGATTCAGTGAAGTTCTCTTCAGATTCAAGTTAACAGAAGAGAGTAGATATTCAAGTTGTCCATTAAAATAATTAAAACAAACCCTAACAACCACTGTATAGACAGATTTAAAGTATTAAGCAGTTAACCACGCAAAAATTAAATGAAAATAGTGTTTGAAAGTAGACCATGGTTAGGCATGCACATACACACATACATGTGTCCCAATAGTTAGAAAGACAGTACAATCACTCGGTATGGTAAAGTGTTCTAGCTTTTGTAAGAAATGTCTTCTGCATTTTCTCCCATATAGCACACTCCGAAATAAAGGACCTGCCTTGTTTTTGGAAGGCAGTGTGTAGAAAGAAAGACTTTTTGGGAATGCTTGTACTGGTGGTAGAGATGCTAAAAAAGGTTAAATCTGTTAATTGCAAATTGTTTGTTGCTATCCTTTATGACCGGGGGGGGGGGGGGAATTAGTTCGCTTTTATTAAATTGGATTGCTTAACATAATTAGCATAAGCGGCTGGCAGTAGCTAAAAAGTACTACTTTTTCTTCTTCTAACAATAGCAATATTTCACCAAACTGAAATGACTGAGTGGTTAAAAGAAATAGACTTTTTATCTTCCAGCTTCATTTGACAAGTGTCAGTGTAGATCTTCTTTAAATTTTTGCTTTTGTACATGTTGACTTTTTTTTGAGGGGAAAGGCGGTAGGGTGTGGGAAGGGGGAAGGGCACCTGGGCTTATATGTGAATAAATCCATCAGTTCCTTGTCAGTGGGCGTGTCTACACGTGCTGATTTAAGGTGCATTAGCCATTTTTTAGGATTCATTAAGGCTGCGGGTCTACACGTGCATGCTGTTAAGGTGCCTTAAAAATGGCAATTTTAGGCTAATCACGCTTAAGTTTTGATATCTGTCATAAGGCAAGTATCAAATTTAGGCACAATTAGGTAAAGCACCTTCATTCGCGTGTAGACACCTTAACGCCATCTGTGTTGACTAGACACCCTAATGCTGTCTATGTTGACTGAGCGGGCCAGAGCCTAGCCTGTGGGGCTCCATGCTGTTGCCAGGCACCCGCAAGAAGACGAGGCAGGTGCTGTTCTCCAAGGTGCAGATGCTGGAGCTGGAGTGGCAGTTCTGGCAGCAGCGATATCTGTCGGTGTGCCAACTGACTTGGGACTAAGGATGCAACATGGGTGGGGCAACACAGGCAGGGGCTCAGCTTTCTTCTTGGCCCACCAGATCCAAGGCCGAGCCCCTGCCCACGTTGCACCCAGCCTGCCTGTCAGTTTATTTCCTTATTAAATATTTCTGCTGGATGGATAGCCAAGATGCATGAAATTTGTAGTATTTTCCAGAGGTAGCAATAAATCTCTCTTTAGTGGCTGGAGAGCCTGTTTGTTTAGTTTTTATTTGTGAGGGACTTTTCTTCAGAACAGATCTGGGATCTTTTAGTCTGACCTCACATATACTAAATTTTGGTAATATTTTAGGCTGTTGTATGTTGTGAGGCCGTACTGTGAAAGTTTTCTAGCGTTTTTTCTAACAATTGATTTCTTTTTTACTGTTGGAGTGCATTAACTGCAACTACATATGATGGCTATAACCACCATGCAACCCGAAGTTTAAAATGAGGCATAGAAAACTAACATGACATTGCTATTTGATTTCTCAAATTAAACATAACCAAATGCATTTTTGTTGCAAACAATGGTCATCTAATAATTTGGACGATAATGTGTAGGTATGATTGAAGTCTTCTGTGAAATGTTGGAAAATGGGTAGTTTCTATTTGATTATTACTTTTCATTCTCCCTCCCTAATTCAAAGTGGTCTGGATTATATCAAACAATAGATGCTGATTTACGATAAAATCATTCTTATTCACAGGTTCCTGCTTCAGTGTCTTGAGGATCTTGATGCTAATTTGCGGAAATTAAATTCTCGTTTGTTTGTGATTCGTGGACAGCCAGCAGATGTGTTCCCTAGACTCTTTAAGGTGAGCTCTAATATTTTTGGAAGAGCATGTTCTTAATGCAAATAGTATAGGTTTGGGTTTTTTTTCCACTGTGCACTGTTTCCACTCCTTTCAGAATTTTGGTATTCAGTATTGAGTAGTTTACAGCTGGGAGTGCTTGCATCCTCTTGTCCTTTAATTTGTCACTTTCTAATCTAGTCACACTCCGTGAATGCCTGAGTTTCAGATTAGAGATTTTGATCAGACTTTTTTGAAAAAAGTGTTTTCTGGCAGCTTAATTTTGATGACTGATGCCATATGAGTTAATCGAACTGTTTTAACTTTGCTATTGCTCTATGTAAAGTATAACTTGCTGAGTATATAGAACAGAATGCCACTCCTCTTTCCTCTCCCCGCTCTCTCTCCTTCTCCCCCCCTCCCCCCCACTGAGAGAG